GTGCCCTGTCACCATATGTCCCAAGCAAAACAGCCAAAGTTCTAATGATTCACCTATTGTCTAAGGAGGTACACCCTTCAGCCCACCCAGGATATATCTTAGTACTAATTGTTATAGTGGGATGGACTTGAAGCTAACTGGCAGACTGGTGAGGAAATACCTCTATCCACACCCAGAAAAGGGTTTAGCAAGAAACAAGGGACCATTTGGATAGCTATCACTGGACCTACTTTCTGATACTTGGCCTGCAATCACTGCCCCATTTGCTCCTCATTAACAGGCACTGAAGTTGAGGACCATGTATCATCAGGCTGATCATGAAATTTGGCCAACATGTTTGCTAGCAATTACTAAGGACTTCCTTTGAATCCGGTTAATGAGCCCCAAAGCCCTCCTCCTCTTCCAGAAAGTTATGTGTCTGTCAGAAGCCCATCCTCATGACCAAAAACCATCAAGAACTGTGAAGGGTCTGAGATTTTGCTCTATTGCAAGCTAACAAGTTAGGATGCCATATTCATGGACACTGGTAAAAGACATAAGACTCCTAGGTCACAAAGAACTCTATTACTTATGGTACAGTAAGCAGAGCATGATAATCCACATTTTTTTTTTTTAGATGGAGTCTCACTCTGTCACCCAGGCTGGAGTACAGTGGCACGATCTCAGCTCACTGCAACCTCCCCCTCCCAGGTTCAAGCAATTCTCATGCCTCAGCCTCTGGAGTAGCTGGGATTACAGGTGCATACCACCACCCCCATTTGATTTTTGTATCTTTAGTAGAGATGGGGGTTCACCATATTGGCCAGGCTGATCTCGAACTCCTGACCTCAGGTGATCCACCTGCCTCACCCTCCCAAAGTGCTGGGATTACAGGCATGAGACACTGTGCCTGGCCCAATAATCAGCATTTTAAAAATCATTTCTTCCTTATACCCAAGTCCCAGAAGAGTGACCAGGTTAGGCCCAGATGGATACCTGTACATACAGTAGGTTGTATTACAAGGGAGGAATCTTAAACTTAGGGAACACAATGTTTTATAATGGGCAGTAAGCATGCCTTTACTCTGGGGAAAGACACTGTCTTCCAAGGTTGTACACAAACTTAAACCTCTGCTCTGGAAGTTAAAAGGGAGGGTGAGACGGGGGAGGAAAAGACATATCTTCCAAGATTGTTCATTATACAAATATCCTCAAAAAGACAGTACAGGACACAAGAAGTCTGTGCCTTCCCTAGAAAGACATAAAGAAATGCAAGGGATCTATGGAGAATTGCTTCTCAATTGGTATAAATTGTAGAAAATGGAAAAATGCAAAGGCGATTTTGCTCTTTGTGCAGAAGCCACTCCAACTTGTGGTGAAATACTCCATGATTTATACACTCATATTAAGGAACTCTTGCAGATTTTTAAAACTTGCCAAAAACAACTCTGCCAATCTTGACCCACTTCACCAACTTACAACACATTACTTTGGCAGTTCATCAAAGCACAGCCCCAATATCCTAAGTACCATTTACATTTTCAGTTTTAATTTTCTCCTCAGCCTTTTTCCCTTTCTTTTAATTTGACTAACTTCACACATAAGCCCAGCTAATCTTCACTGCTGCATGTTAGCCAAAATAGAGTTCTTCTGATAAATCCTCAGGAGAGCCAGGGAAGCTTGCTTAAAGGAGAGATTTTAAAGTCATAAGGTCAAAACAGGTTCCTTTTTAGGCAATTCAGTGTGGCATGATTGCAACATGATTATCTTAGTAAGAACCTCCAAATTTTAAAACAAAAATATACTAAGTGCATCCTAATATCCCAAGAAATAGGGCTAGCTGTTACATAAGGGAAGCTGACTTATCTTAACATTCATCTATTAAGCCCTATTTTGTTCCATGACCCAGGCTTCTTAAGAGACTGCCATTACAATTAAACCTCCATCCCCCAAAGAGCCCTGTCTACAATGGCTTATAAAGGAAGGGATAAGAGCCAAATTCCAGGTTGGCCTCAGTTATGTCTAAATGTCAACTTGCTTATCCCACACAGTGAAACATATGAACATCCTAAGGCAGATCTCTTTTAAAGGAAAAGGGTCAGGTTCCCTAGCTTTTCACCCCAAAGGATAGACAGGAATGTGCTGGTCTCTATGATTCTATGACTAGATAGAATCACAGTATGTTTATCATTCCATTACAATTCTTTACACTCTAGACGTTATGTTTTCAAACCACTCTGTTTTAGAGAAGATCTCAATGTTTTAGTAAAGTACAAACACCATCCATCTACTGTTATTGTCTCCATGTGTATGTTCTGGATTAAGGCACTTTTTTTTGTTTGGATTACAAACCACATTACTTGATAAATATCTGAGAAAAATGGGAGTGGGTAAGTTGGAAATGAAAGTAGACTTCACTTATTCTATGAATACAGTGCTTCTAAGAACAAAGATTCTTCAAGTGTTTAGTTTTCTAAACAACTTTATAATGGAACAGAACCATAACCCAGCAGAAAGAGCCAAGGTTCTTATTTTGGTATAATTTATTCTCCCTTGGTCAAGCAGGTCAACAATAAGGTCATCAATTGTCTTGGCAACACCCACCTCCATTTCCACCACTGCAATGCATTAATGAGCTTATTTATGCCTTGCTTTATCTACGAAGAAATTTTTTCCTATTAGAACTATTAACATGAGCTGAGTTCCACTATGCTTTTTCAAGGGAGATTTATTAAAATGGGATGGAAAAGAAGGTCATTTCCAAAAAAAGTCACCTTCAGTTTTCAACAGAGAAACATTATGTTTTATTCCGTATCTCTTTGGATAAGCAACATTTGATAATATTTCCAGCACAAGATGTCAGCAGTTCTTCTAACACCAAATGACTAAGAACTTTTATTCAAGAGCCAGAGTTGCTTATATTGGCATCTATATAACACAACCTCAACATCTAATTTCCTGGTGTTGAAAAAAAGTCAAATCCCTGCTTCTTTAATTTACGAGTCTAAAACATATTACCTTAAAAGCTATTGCCATGTCTCAAACTTTTAAAGCACAATTTTAACCCAATAAAATAAACACACCCACTACAATGCCTCCTGTGATGTTAACACATACTCTACTTTCCCCTATGAAACTTAAAATAAGGTGTTTTTTTAAAGTTATAATTGCCATTTTTCCTAAATATGTAGGGAATCTCAATATTTGAGTGAGCTTTCTCAACAAGGAAATAGTGGCAATACTGACCTACCTCCCAGAGCTTAAACCGTTTGAAAATGTTTTATTGCTTAATTCTTGTATTTAAAGAGTTAGTCACAAGGAAGTCAGTGGCAAGCTGGCCCAAAGCTGGGTCACCCTGGGCAGGAAGTGGCTGAGAAAATTGTAGTAGATTTTAAACTTTTTAAAATCTGCTGGTCACTTTGGCTAAACACAAAGACCACCTACTCCACTATTCCCTCCCAGCTATCACAGCAAAAAGTACTCACCAGAATACACAGGAAGGAGGCACTTCTGATGAAATGCCACCAAGGTAACTGTCTGGATTTTATGGATATTTAATACATGCCAGAAACAAAATTACAGATTTTGTCATATTATAAACATTAAAGTAGGCCTGTCCACAGACCACCTAGCGTTCCTTCACAGATTATACTGTAAATCCAAACTACATAACTATCTGAAATGCAGGCAATTTGCTAGGTGATACTGTTGTAAGCACACGATGAATACAGTGGTAACACAGAAAAACCAGGGCAATTCTGGAAATGATCTGTTTTAACTTACGCCGAAAGTAACAAGATCCTAATGCCAAAAAATAAAACTCTCTCGTTAAAATAAGAGGGCTTGAGATTTGGAAGTAATCGGGTTTCTTTTTTTGTTTATGAGTACCAACTAAACAAATGCATACTCTGAGCCTAGTGACATTTCAGGAATGGGAAACTAAATTTCCTGATTAATACAAAAATAAGCCTCATAGTAAGAATCATAGTTTAGAAGACCTCAATTAGTAGTAATAACAAATAATTTGAAATATATTTTAAAGTGTTGGATAATTTCTAAGAACAATGTGACTAAAATTAGTATTGCAACTTTCCAGAACTATTTGGACTAATTTTTGTGACCACCCAAAAAAAGGGGCTAAGCTAAAACTTCGTATCCTGGATTGAGTCAGTGACAAAGTTTCAAATGCACCCCGCCATGTAACCTCAAAACACTTTAAATTAAGATGGTTTACAACAGAAATACCAAAAATAAATCATCCTTGAATACTTTTAGATTTCCCCCAGTGTACCACAAATCACATCCAGAAACCCAAACAAAATAATCACTGAAATGTTTGAGATATGCTGCTGAAATCCTGAGCTCCAAGACAAGAAAAGGAGAGAGACCAAAGCAGATAGGCTGATGTCTCTTTGCTTGAGCAGCACTGGGCTTTTGGAGGTCCTAAATACCTTGAGTCCATAAAAGTCAGCAGTGACACTAAAATAATAATAAATAATATAGGCTCTGGTTAGAAAGAGAGGATCCGTTTACTGCCGCCCTGCTGAGGTACATTTGACCACCAAAGGCAAGAAAGCTATTAGCATCCTGAATTAATGGGTATAGTGGTTTTCAAACAAGATATTTTCATGATGGACACCATGTGGACTCAGCAAAGTTTCTCCTTCAAGAAAAATATAGCTTCTATTTCAAAGGGCACTGATTAGGCTTAATACCATTAGGGAACCATCAAGGATTTGTGTTGTTGTTACTGCTTTTAACTATCAGTTACTTCTAAACCAAAAATTGCGGGTAGTTAACTTGACCAACAGTCAACGGTTAGGAATGCAGGAGCAAATCCAAGGTACAAAAGAGCTTCAAATGTAGACAAGCCTTAAGGAGTTTAGAATCTTTTTAGGTTGTTAGGACTTAGCCTTTCTTATCATCACAAATTGCATTATGACTTCCTTGTCTGGAATTTCTAAATAAAGATTTATTTCCCTCCTCACATCCCCCTCTGAAAACAACTAGATACAAAACTATTTTAGAAATTCTCAATATAGTTTATTAGTGGCAATGTAAATCAATGACAATCAAAAACCAAATAAACACATCTACCAAATGAATAAATTCTTAACTACTATTAACTGCTTATAATATATCCAGCAGATGTTTTAAAAGTCAACAGTATTAATTCCCTTGTAGATTAATTGTAAAAAAAAATAACTGTTTTAAGTCCATCTCCATCAATACTTAAAAGTACAAATATACATTAAATAAGATTAAGAAGACTGTAAATCAGACAACAAGGAAGTCTGCAAAACAAAGATAACTTTTAAAGCATTGCTCAATTTACTTTGTAGCTTTCTTATGTAAAATATTTTAAAGCAGTACATATTTTCTGGATCATACATGAAAGTTCCCATCCAGATGTCTTTTCTATCCAATTCTTATTCTTTCTTCATTGTCAAAATCTTAATTTTCATTCCTGGCTGGATTTTTCTTCCTTGGCAATTCTTTTTGTTACCCCACTAAAATATTTCTCACGGAAGGAATTATGACCTTGATATGGCAGAAAATGATCACTCAGCAGATGTGAATGCTGGTCTTGATTCTGTTTGGTTGGAAAATACAAAATATAAAAACAATTTCTTTAGTTAGCTTGTCCCAAAACTGTCATTTATTTTCTTAAGCAAAATCTCACTCTCTAGTGCATATTTATTTTCCTTCACTACTTGAATTAGAAATAGACCATCACTTCACCTAATCATGCTTGGATATCCAAAGTGTTTTCATTTATTTTACCTCAGTTAAGCCTCATAAAAGTCCTCTGCACAGAGGACACATTTCTTTTCTTTTTTTTTCTGTTAATTTTTTGAAATTCAGACAAGGCAAAGAGAATGGTTCCAGGTAACAGAGTCAAGACTGTAACTTTCCTCTGATTCCTAGTTCAGCACACACTGAAGTTATCTGTGCCTATGGATAAGAATTATTAAACAAGGAAGTTTCTACTTAAGAAAAAGTTGTGAACCGATAAAATAATGCATTTGTGTGAGGTCATACATATACACAAAATTGTCTGGGGTATGTCCATATTTAGTTAATGAAATAATTCCTAGCAACTTTAAGTGAACACAGCAGATGAAGAGACAGGCTAAAGGAGATTTCCATACTTGCAGACTTCACAGACAAGGGCGGACTAGTGCTCAGACTGACATCTAATGGTAATATCAACCTGGGTTAGAATGTCAAACATATTTTGGCTTAGAAAATTGAGGTTCCTGGCAGGAAACACTGAAATACTGGCTTCTCATCCAACTTCACTAACCATTCCAACCTAAGAAAAATATCTAATTAGACATAAAATCTTATTTCCCATGTACTTCTATAAATTCATTTTCAATTACACCTGGATTAATGTGATTTTGAGGACAGGTGTAGAGACGTAAATGGAAAACATGAAGCATAATTTTTTATCCTGATTTCAGTATCAAAATGGTTGCTAAAAATATATCTGGAATATAACAATCCTCAAAATATTTTTGCACTTTTGCAAAAATATTTTTGCCTGTGTAAAATGAGTACCTTTATCTTTCCATCAGTTCTAGCATTAATAAAAATCCAGGTTTAGCCAAAATAATGTTGGTGGATTTGTTTATTCAGAAACTATTTTTGCCACATATATTTTTAAAATCACACCAAAACCCCAGATTATTAAAAATTAAACATGCCCAGATTTCCTGATTCACCAAAGACAAATAGGTGGCTACTGAAATTTTATGGCACTAAGTATATTACAGTTCCAAATTCCTGCAAGTACATGAAAACATGTCAAAGGTTACTATTAATAACTTTAGGCTACATACAATTCCCAAAAAGATAAATTTTAGATAGTCAAGGTGTAGGTATACAACTAAAGATACCGAATGAAAGGTAACATTTGCTGAGTATTTTGTATAGACCAAAAACAATACTAAATGTTTTATATGTACTACCTAATAAAACTTGTCAGCTCTAAGAAATAAGTACACTACTATCACCATTTTACAGATGAGGAATTATTTAAGAGTACAGGCCAGAGATAATACAGCTGGTAAGTGGCAGAGCTAGGCTTTGAACACAGATCAGTTTGACTCTAGAGACTGCATCCTTAACTACAAGGTAACGAGGTTTTCTCCAAAAGAGCTATCTTTTTCCCCAACTCAAGAAGCAGGAGGAACTCTGAGAATATAAGTGATAGACTAAGGCTACGACAGCTGAGCTGCCCACCAAGAACGGAGTAGAAATGGGTAAGAGGTCTTACTAATGAAGGCCTATTAACTAAGAACATATTTTAATGGCACAGAGTTTTCATACCAAGAGGAGGTATAAAGAGCCACAGGGAAGCTGAAGGATAACAAAACCCCGAAAGAACAGGTGACTTCACAGCTGGATTCAAGTCTGGTCCACATATCAGGACTGTGCCAGGACAGCAGCAACACAGAACAATGTTCCAGCATTTAACGTCAACTACTTCATTTCAACTTTTATCAAAAGTCTAACTGAAGTCTATCTACTCCTCCAGGTATTCGAAACTCTGTCCTTATGTCAGTAAGTTCACTGGAAAACTTAACCACTTCCTGAGCTATGTTAGCTTAATCCTGGCAGAATGTTTTTCTTTGGTTCTATTTTAAAGCTATGTCCAGACGCTGTCATCTTTTCAGCTACTATGTTGATCCTCACAATTCTTGGCATCGCTCCTCAACCAGTCATCAAAATCAGAAACCTGGGTCAGATGTGTCTTCTCAGATTTGGTCAGTCTTAAAATCTTAGCTTATATATCCTGAATATCTCAAATCCACTTCTCTCTACTCATAATTCTAATATTTAATGTAGGCCTTCCTCAACCCCTCCTCTCTTTTCCCTAAATGGCCAGCTGCCCTGTCTTTAGTGGTTCCTTCTCCAGTGTATTCTCCATACTGAGACCAAGCCTCATCTATTAAAATGCAAATTTAATATTCCAACCACTTGTCTAAAATCCAAATGAGTTCAAATTTTCCATAATTCTCAGGCTTTTCCCTTGACATCTGGGACTTACATTCAATTACTTATCACTTTGCAGAATGACGTATCACTTTCTTCTGTACAGGAGGAATCAGAATGCGATCAGGTCATAAAGTAATTCCTTAGCTCTGCCCTCCTGTCCTCTTCTCTCCTCATGGCCCCTCTAGGTCATGCAAGATCACCTATCCCTCAAACTGCACTGTGGATTAAGGAGGCTAAGGTAAGACAGAAACATGATTCCAGCAAACTGACCCAGGCTCAGTTACCAGCGTGCCTAGCTGACCTAATCTGTGGTTATGCAGCTCCCAAAAGGGAGGCAGAAGACAAGGCCCAAAGCATAATGGGCTCCCTCCAGGTACCAAAGGAAGGGCTTAATAAAATAGTTTGTCTTTGACCACATGGATAGAAATAAAGCAAGTATTGGTCATAAAGTCAGAGAATATAAAGATTAGAGTCAGAGACTGGGAATGAACAGCAGAAGCCTGAAAACTCCACAAGTAATTACTAAAATGTATGCTAATGATTACTGAGAAAACATTTACTACTTAAGACATTCTTTACTGTAATAGTTTAGGCCCCTCAGAATAAAGTAAAGGCAAAGTAAGTCCTTAACAGACCATGTGTTCTATTCAGTGCTATGGCGGCACAGTGGCAGAGACATATATATGCTAATTGAGAAGTTGGGAAAGATCATTAACCTTAGTAATGCAACTCCTGGGGAGAAAATCCTATTTTCTTATTTCCCAGATAGTAGAGCAGAATTAGTGTGAAGTGTATGTTTGGGTTCTATGCTAAAATGTCCCCTTTCTAGAAGACCAAATGACTCCAGATTGCAAAACAGAACTTTTATCATTTGTAACAGCAACTCTGGAAAACCCAAAAGCTCCAAATTCCTTACGCAGCCAGAGATCTGGCAGGCACCAGTCTATTACCCAGCAGCACAAGTCCTGCTTCAGAGTAAGATGTTCCAAGGCCTTTGGCTACTATTTTCACTTAAGTGCAAAGGCCATGGTTCATAAAATGTTCTGACAAAACATGGTTCATAAATGTTCTGACTTGGTATGTCTGTGGTCCAACATATATCATTACATATAATCATGTATGTAAATATGACATACCTGGGAACAATACACATTTAACTAAAATACACCCAGACCATATGAAATATACTATACTCTATGAAGCATTCAGAACTTATATTATCACCTTAATGCTGAAAAAAACAGCAAACTCATTTTTTGTTTTCTCTTTTCTCTCTACCTCTCTTTCATCCTATCTTTAGTTTGCCAGGGCTTACATATGAGATGATGATATTAAATTCTACATATTTTTCATCACCTTTTCACAACTCTTCTCTATTCACATTCCCTGCACATCTCAACCAGGAATATCTGCAAAATTTTTTTTCAGCACAGTATCTCAAAGGCCAAAGTGCTTACTTAAAAGGAGAAGAGTGTCCTCACCAAACACAATCTTTGATCTCCCTCACTAACTCAAGCTCGCCCCAATGTTTGACTTTTGGTTTTGCTAACATTTCCAAATCCGTCTACCACTATCCATCGTGATATCATCTACATATCACAAAACCCGAGTTCTGCCAATGTTTAGTAAGCAAAACCTACTTGGTGGAAAACAAAAACACACAAAGAATTAGGAAATGGCAAGAGAGAAGAGTATGGTGATAAAACGACTACACTTTCCAAATTTCTTAACCATTGGTAGTAATTAAGAAATAAATAAAATATTAAGACTATTGATTATACTATTATCATTTTTTATAATCAGAAGAGTTTCTGTAGGTAAATTTGTGCTACCGCAGATGGCTATATAAGGGATATCAAACATCATTCAGACCTATTATTTATCCTTTTAAGACAATCAGCAATTGCAAACATTATCATATACAAGTTATGATTCAAAAAAGGAAGATATATTTCCTACCAAATATGTGTTATTACATAATTATTTAATTTTCTGTATCTTTTTACAGAAAAGTATCATCTAAATTTTGCAGATAAGGACACAAGGGGGCTAAAGTTAAAATAACCTACCACAAATTACACAGCTAGTAAGTAGCATTGCCAGAATTGTAGCCTAAGTCAGACTTCAAAGCTCATGTTTTTCCCATTATAATTCTCCTTTTTTCAGTAGAAATTACATCAAAACAATGGCTAAAGAGTTAACTTCCCACATGGCGGATTAGTGGGTCATTCAAAATAGAGTTTGACATTTAGAGGACATTCCTCACTGAACGGCAACATTATGGTAGCACATATTTCAGAGCTAAACTTTTAGGCGGACTTCTTTAACCACTATCCCACCCAGCCAATTTCCTGTCCTATCAGTACTGCTAATTCTAAACATAAACCACTCGAGGAATTTTAACACACTTGCCAAAGAAACCAAAGAAAGGCTTACAAATTGGTAGTTGACTTTTATGTGTACACTACCCTCTGCTGGTTGGAGCACAGCAGTCCTTCTTTATAATATTTCCTGATGTGGACTGAAACAGTTTACAGCATAGTGGACCATACATCTGACAGGAGCACCCTGCTGTAATAGCTGTTTGTG